AAAATGTGCGACTGCGATGTCCAATGACGTGTTTGTGAGGTTGGCATCCCCGTTGAGGAAATCCGGTCTTGTGCGACAGGTTTTTAAGGGCGAGGAGGCGGCCTTCCAGATCTCGGGCTTGCAGGGCAACACGGACTACCGCTTCCGCGTGGGCGCCTGCCGCCGCTGCCAGGACTCGTGCCAGGAACTGTGCGGTCCGCTCAGCCCCTCGTCCCACTTCACGCCGCGGCGCCAGGAGGCCTCGGGGCCCGGCGGGCCGGCGGGGGGCGGAGCCTGCGCCCCTTGCGTCGGCTCAGGCGAAACCCAAGAGAAACTTTTTATAACAGATCGTCAAGAAAAACACTTGAGACACTCTTCTTCTCCTCAAGGCTTCCATTTCAGTGTGTTTTCTTTTTGTAGCCGAGCTGTACCTCCGCGCTGAGGGCGAGAAAATTCATCCACAAGCCTTAAAATAGCTGTGAGCAGTCACTCAGACTGACTTGCATGTTTTTTTTTTTGTTTGTTTGTTTTTTTTTCATATTTGATTAGAGGACGTGTATATTTCCTGGTTCATTGCCTTAATTAGTTGTCTTTTTATTGACATTTTTTAATTTGCTGCAGTCTTTATCCACTCAGCCATATTCTAATGTAAGCATTCAAAGCTTTAGCCGCGCATATTGGTTGACACACAGACACACACACACTCACACACACATACACACACACACACACACACACACACACACACACACACACACTTTTGTGCGTGACAATGACTCAACTGATGCCACGCGCGCAGCCGCTCCGCTTTCTTTACGCTCGCCAAAGTGATACAATCCACGTGTGATGTACGATGCTGCTATCCTTTGATTTGTTTTTGTTTGTTTCTTTAGAATGGAAAGCCAGTTATCTAATATAAGTATGAAATAGAAATATATATATATACAGAGAGAGAGAGAGAGAGAGAGTTAGAAATACACACGCATATCCAATATCCACGATCGCGTCGAAAGGGATGGCGTCAGCAGGTGGGACGGGCTCATTCTGGATCAGATCGGAAGCCAATCGGAGCATTAAACTGGATTGGGGATTTTATTGGCCTTCCACTCCGTGGCCGCCTTCACGCAGATGTCCTGCAAAATTGTCGCACCATAATACCGCTTTTGCCTTTTACAGGGAATTTGCCCCCCCTGGGAATCAGGAGGATGATCTGAACCCATCGCATCTAAAAGTCGATTTTGCTGCGTCTCGAAGCGCTTTTCACACAGTGACACGGCATTGTGACATTTACATGCGTCAGGCACAACTGTCACAGCTTTTACAGCACCTCTGTAAAACATTTCCTATTCCACTTTCACCCCACTGTGAAATTCCTGGCGGTGTGAAAGACTTTCACACCGAGATTGTGCAAAATTGGCACACCAGAGCCGGAACAGATGACCTTGCATTTATCCGCTTTTGCCTTCCACACGGAACCCAGTGAAGAAAATTCCCTGGGGGGCAGAATTGCCACGTTGGAGCAAAACATTGGCCTTTGAACATTGAAGAAAATTCCGTTTTTTTTTTTTTTTTTTATCAGCAATCTGAAAGGGCCTTTCACACAGAGATCCTGTAAAATTTCCACATAAGAGCCAACATATCCGACTTTGCCTTCCACACCAAACCCAGCGAAGGCAGGATATTACCACAACTTTCACAGACACAATGTTCTCTGATCAGACAATTGTTGCAGGTGGAAAAGGGTCAAGCGCACTTTGCCCCCCGCAAAAGTCCCAGGAAAATGACCAAATCATCGCAGTCACTTAACAGGACGGGAGGAATCAAGTCCCGCTTTTCCGGCATTCCCAAACACACGGGGGCGACATCCCGCCTGCATTACGGTTCTGTTACTACCTCCAAAGGCGGAAAAATCACCTGATGAACGGCATCAGTCCCGCCTTTGTGGCATTCCCTTATGGGGGCAACGTGGCGGGAAAATGGTCCGGGTCGACGTGAAATGTTAAAACTCGACGCATCCCGCCTCTGTTAGGGCACCGAGTGGGGCAAAGGGGCATCGTCGCGGTGTGAAAATGAAAGCCCGCCCCTCACCGTTGTGCCTCTTCTTTTCAAACAATCCACCTGTCTTTTTTTTTTTTTTTTTAATCCCGCCTCTCCTCCAACGATACACAGGGCATTCTGAACACCATCCCTCTAATAAACACAAAGCCAAGGTACACAGCCCAAAGAGGTCACCCTGACCCGTATGAAATGGAGTCCGCACATGAGGCCTGTAACGTACCTCAGGGAAATAAGAAAAAAAATAGTTTAAAAAAAAAACAAAACGATCCATTAAAAAGACTGCCCCCTCCCCACCCCACTCTCACCCTTCTCATCTTCCTCTCCACTTTTTGCGTCTCGGTCCTCTTCGGATGCCGTGCCTTGACAGCATCTTGCGTGGTTAACTCGCTCCGATAATTTTTTTTTTTTTTTTTTTTTTTTTTGCCAAAGTCGATGGGAACATGATGGTAATTTTTTTTTTTTTGTAGTTTTTCTTTATTTATACTATATATTTGCATACAGTACTTTACAATGCCAATTACAGTGCAATCTTCATTTATTTATTGTTTAAAAAAAGATTCAGAGATGAGTGTAGTTATATACTAATTTTTTTTTTCCTTCCTTTTTCTCGTAGCATGTTTTTGGGGTGTTAGAATGATTTTTTATTTTGTTTTTGTTTTTTGTTTTTTTTTAAGGCCAGCATTCCTTCTCTCTCAGTAACCCTTCGAGTATTTCTTACAGTTGTTGGGATCCCGCAGTTATAAAACTTGTAACCAAATACATTATGTACTGTTCTGTCTGGGGGGGGGGGGTTGTTTTTTGTTTTTTAAAAAATTTCATCTCTTGTATGGGCCGTGCTCGGCTGAGTCGTCATCTGTTCATGCTTCTCGAAACATGTAGCAAAGACAAATGTGCCTGCCTTTGGCTTCTTTAATTTTTTTCTGTTGGGGGAGGGAGCGGGGAGGGATTAGAATGAAGCTTCTGATACTGTTTTGTATTTTATTTGATTTTATTTTTGCCAAAGGGCAGGCTTTACTCTGTTCTGACCAAGGGTTCTGTGATATTCTTCTGTAACAACACAACAGCATTACTATTATTTTTATGATTGTTATTGTTACTATTACTCTGATGAAAAGGACAAAAAAAAAAGCGACGTTAACTTGATCTGTGATTATACTTATTTTCAATATTATCGTTTGTTTGTTTGTTTTGTTTATTTTTTAAGCAAAATGTGCCTTTGTCGATAGATGTCGCCCCCCCCCCTAAAAAGAAGAGGAGGACAATCTTGTACCAGTAGAGACCAACGAAGGCGGGGTGCGGGGAAGAGGAAATAAAAAAGGCTCCAAACAATCACACAAGCGACGAGCGCAGGCAGGCAAATTTCTTGACGAGTTCTTGCTCGGCGTAGCGAGTAGTAATGAGTGTTTTGTATCCAGTATTTTTTTTTCTTTTTTTTTTTTTTTTTTTGATATGAGATGATATACAGTACAGAGATATGGATAGAGCTATAGAGGTGATAAGTACATTTACGACTAACCTAAGTTGAAGCACTTTTATATCACCACGAGCATTATTAGTCTTGATGGGCGGGGCTTTTATATTGATCCAAAACACTACTGCCAGGCTGTTCATGTTCGTCGCTCGCGTGTTATTTTATAATTTTTTTTTTTTTTTTTTTGCGTGTTTTGTTGTATCACGTAAGGCAAACTGTGCGTGGGGGGGGGGGTGGCATCAGAAGGGATATTCGGCAGTCAGATTAAAAATTTCAGGATCAACCTTGAACGGGCTTTTAGCTTGACAGGCAAACTTGATTTGACCATTGACCCTGTGACTAGAATAGCGCCGCCTCTGTAAGCGAGCAACAGCAGAATCTGGTCTTCAGCTAACAAACCAAAATTAGACCAACCTGTGTATTTTATTGGGTCGTTACGATTCAAATTTTTTCTGGTATGAGATCAGTGAAAAACTATTTCCATGTAGCAGATGAAAAGTGGACGGCAAGCCGTAAGTCGGTCCAGCCCTTCAAGAACAGCAAGTTGTGTTTTGAAGCATTTCAAAGTTGACAGAAGGCCACATGAAGTTCACCCGTAAAGGTTTTGAGTGCGTTCTCGGTTCATCCTAAAATTTCACACAATATTCTTTCCTTTTTGTTTGACAAGTTAGTCCCCTAATTGTTTTTTTTGTTTGTTTTAAATTGTGAACCCAACATGTGACACACCAGGTGTCCAGTCCTTAAACGGTCCTTTTTGCGTGGCAGGTTACTCACCTATTTCATTACAGATATATTTTTTTTATTATTATTATATATTTTTTTTCAATTCCATTTAAGAAACACGATTTGTCCATGCAGCACCTAAAACATCCTCCTCACCCGACAAACATACACACACACACACACACACACACACACACACACGCCTGTGCCTTCTGATCTTATTTTTTTAATTTCAATTTTGTATGTTGTTATTGTTTTTGGGGGAGAATTTGTTTGTTTTTTTGCAGCGACCAGAGATTTTTTATTATTTTTTTTCAGACTGAGCAATTGGCCACAATGTGCGGAAACACACAAAAGTGAAAACGAATCAAAACGTTTTTTTTTTGTTTTGTTTGTTTTTTTACCTCACGGTTTTAAGAGTGAACATTCCAGGTTGTCATGGTCTACGAATTAGATTTTTTTTTTTTTAAGAGAAATTCATGCATTTCTTCTTGTATTGTAAATGTTAGACAATTTCATATGCATTATATAAAAAGAAACTGCCATATCAATTTTAATGTATAGATTTTTTGCAAATACTACCCTATGTATGTAAGACGTAACTGTATCGGTAGCGTATATATAATATATTTATGCCCAATAAATGTTTAAATTTTTTTCCTTTTTCTGACATGGATTGCGAGTGTTTATTTCTGTGTCTGTTCTGTTCTGCTTGCAGCGGGGCCAAGTTGGGACAGCGACTCGCAACGGTACGTATCCGATATTATCCGATACGTATCCGATTATACAGCACAATTGTCATTTTCAACTTCATATTTCAAGAGATTTTATTTTAATGTGGTATTGCCCTTTCGACGTAAACAACATTCAACCAAATGAAACTCATGTCCAGACACCTTTAATGTCACTGCAAAGCATCTATTTACAACAAGAAGACAACAATTTGTTGGCGCATGTAATAAGGCAATGTGGAATGTATGTTAATGGCCCACAACAACAACATTAGAGACAACCTGCACAAAATTCTGCCTTTGGAAAGATAAGAATGCACATTTTTGGGGGTCATAAATAAATACAAAATGTCTCTTTTGGTCACGTTATAGTACACCTGAGATGGGAACGTCAACATCAGCCAAGACAAAGATATTCTTATACACTTAAAAAAAAAAACAAAAAAAAAAACTTTTTTTAAAGCCCATGACTTTGCGAAGCTAATGCCTTTAAAAACAGCATGAAATGATTACTTCAAAACACGGACGTGATACTATTACACAGCTTGTTGACATTTTTCAGGGGAACCTCGAAAGATGTCAGGGGCAGTTGTAATTCAGCCCTGTGATGTCTGCCCAGCAACAGGTGACATCATGTGACCAGGAATGTAAAATCCAAACAAATTTGAGGGAACTTTAAAAGCCCCCCTCCTCCCCCCCAAAAAAAATATATATTTGTGTTTCCAAATCCAAACAAGCTTAAGGGGCAGTTGCAATCAAGCATTGTGAAAGTCTGACAAGCAACCAATGACATCATGTGACCTTGAATAGTCAACTCCAAACAAATTAAGAGGTCGACCAGGATTATTTTTGCATTTATGTGGGAGTTGAAAATTAAGAAAGTCAGAATGTTGGTGACACTTCAGTCAGTTGGTCAAAGAGGTAGTTATTGAGCCCCATGAAGTCTACCTAGCAACAAGTGACAATATGGAAGAATCCAAAGAAATTGGAGCTTTTTTTTTTTCCCCTGTATGGACAGTTAATAATTTGAAATGTCACTTAAAGCGTTGTTGTGTTCACTTTCTAGGTTTGAGGACGACCACAGTTAGACACTGGCGCTGCTGAATTTATGTTTTGAGTTGCGATAGAAAAAAAAATTCTTTTACAAATGCTAACGAACTGGAGGTCACTGGAGGTGTAATGTTGACATATTGACGTTAGAGATCCCTGAAAGAACAGAGCCCTCCTAATGTAATGGGTACACTCTACCCGTCCGTCCCTGCGACTTTCAAGGTTCCATTGCACATTACAGGCATACGGTGCCGCTATTTTAAAAGAACACACCACAAATTCCGGTTACGGGTTCTACAGTGCTTTTGTTGTCATCCAGAATGCAGAAAAGAAAAACTGTACGTTAAATAATGCCAGCAAGGTTCGTCATGAACAGGCCACGCGTGAAATCGGTATCACCGCTTGCACCTCCAGCTCACCCATGACCCCAGTGAGGACAAGTGCTTTCAGAGAATCCATCGAATGGATTAATTGTATATGTAATCTTGTATTTTTTTTTTTGTTTGTCTTATTTACAATGATCATTTCATGAGAAATTAAAACAAAAGCGGATTTCAAAATAAAAAAAAAACTGGTCAATGGTCGGTGGACGGTACACACTCAAAAATGCTGGCTTGTTGTCCTAATTCACTCTCAGGGTAGCTGTGGATTTCGAAGCAGATTTGGTGATTTTTACTCAAGGTTGGGCTAATCAATTTCAAGCCCGGCAAATTGGGTTGGAGGCCGCATTTGGACGGGCTGAGGAGCTGAAGCTGGTTGCCATTTCCGTGTACTCAAATTGAAGTCAGTTTAATTCTGCCAGGATGTTCAATAACACTTTTTTTTTTCTTCAGATGGATACCATGACACAAATTCACATTTTGAGTCCTCGCCGATACCCGATACAGTCAAATTGCCCCAAAATTGTGAACAAAGACCTTTCTTGCTAATGCAGGTGACAATTCGCCGATGTGTGAAATGTCGGCAGTATAGCGCCAACTACTGCCGTGGAGGACTTACTCTACGTCAGATTGTATTTTTATTTTTATTTTTTTGCCCTAAGTATCGTGGCTGGTATCAGCACCATCCACGAGTTGCTGCGGCAAACCCTGACTGGGGAAAGTTGCTGCTTCTTCTTCCTCTTAGAAATAATTGGCAATAAAGTTGGCACAGCTACAGTATACGAATAAGCCGGAAAGCCATTTTTTGGTTGCTTTAACTCATTATGATAGGTCGTATGACCGCAGCCCCTTTTTCGGACCCAGCAATCGGGTTCACGATTTCACCCAATGTGGCTTCCTTTTGACCCAGCAGTTTTCAGAGAGTACAGTAGCGTCCCGCTGGCCGTACTTTAGCCCCCTCCCTACCCGCCCCGCTTGACCGGAAGCGCACAAGGCTTTAGAAGCTGACGCTGGATTCCATCCAGCCGTCCGCCACGGCCTTCAGCGCGCTGGCGGTGCGGGTCCGAGGTAGCTGCTGTCCGGCGAGGCCGAAGAGGCGCGCTGCCGCCCCGCGGTACTTCCAGGACATGGTGTTGTAGAGGATGGGGTTGATGGCGGCGCTCAGGTAGAAAAGAACCACCGACAGCAAGCTGCAGTGCTCGGACAGGGCGGACAAGAGCGGGGACGGCGCGTCCAGCGAGCGGAACTGCAGGTAGCGGCACACGTGGAAGGGCAGCCAGCACAGGACGAAGGCCAGAACCACCACCACTGGAGGGAGAGAAGAGAGAGAGACACATTTCCATTTCATTGTAGCCTCATGAAGAAAAGGTTCAAAACAAGATAAAAACACGGGCGCTCAGGTACAGTATCCCTCATTGACTTTCGAAACGATCATATCGGAATTAACGAGGTGAGTTTTAAGAGTTGGTGGTGAGTGTTTGGGAGAGAACAAAAAAAAAAAAAGATCTTGCAAAAGTAGTGCAAACATTTGGAAATCAATTACAGTGGTACCTCTACTTACGAAAATCATGTGTTCTGGAAGAAACTTCTGAACTAGAACATTTTGTAAGTCGAGACGCGTTTTCCATGTAAATGGCCTAATCCGTTCCAAGCCCCCTAAAATTCAGACATAAATGTTTCAACATATGTAACAGATGCATGTTACAATTAGATTATTGTACAATAAATGAGAGTTGTGGATAATGTAAAAAAAAAAAAAAATCACTTTTAACTGCTTCCTCATTGTTTGTTGCCCTCTTTAGTTCATGTTCTTTCTCAGAAGTGCTTTTTGCCTTTTGTCAAGAACTTTTGTCGGCTTTTAACAATCCTTCGAAAATATCCAAGGCAAAAATCGGCCTAGTGAGCGATCGCCCGACTGTTTTTCTGAAAGATCCACATTTACATAAAACTATCGGAACAGCTAATGGTTTGTTTTCTCATCAGTTTGCTGGTATTGAGTTGCCACGTTCCTCCACCCTGCCTGGCCACGCGGCGCATCAAGCGTTGCGTCAAACCCACCCAGCATCTTGACGGTCTGCCTGTTGCACTTGTCGCGGTGCGCCACGCACGAGCTGATGTTGGTCTCCCGATGCCTCCGCCACAGGCGGCGGCCAATGAGGCTGTAGAGCACCGTGAGGCAGAAGACGGGCATGAAGAAGAACACGGAGCTCAGCCACACCATGGCGCCCATCAGGCCCGACTCCACGGCGTAGCGCGTCATCTTGCACTCCCGCGTGTCCCCGTACTCCTCCTCCTCCTCGTCCATCCGAAGAGTGTCGTTGGCGTCGAAGCCCGGGTAGTCCCGCTCCACGCCCACCATGACGAAGACGGGCCCCGCGCTCAGCACGGCCACGCACCACAGCAGCAGGATGAGCGCGCGCACTCGCCGCTTGGTCACCAGAGCCTTGGCCCGCAGCGGGAAGCAGATGGCCACGTAGCGCTCCACGGAGAGCGCCGTGATGCTCAGGATGGTCGAGTACGTGCTCGACTCGGACACGAACTGGAAGAGCTTGCAGAGCGCGTCGCCGAGGCGCCACGGCCGGTAGCGCCACATGCGGTAGAGGTCGAGCGGCATGCACAGGAAGATGAGCAGGTCCGACACGGCCATGCTGCAGAGGTACAGGTTGGTGGTGGTGCGCATGTCGCGGTATTTGCCCACCACCAGGATGGTCATGACGTTGCCGGCCACGCCCACCACGGAGAGCAGCGTGCACGCCGCGGTGATGAACGTCAGGAGAGGCAGGCTGTAGTAGTTGAGCGGGGGAAGGTCCAAGTCGCGGTTCGCAGGGGTGGCGTTACGGCTCTCGTCCCAGCTGCAGTTTAGGGGGAGGCACGAGGACGGGTTGGGCCCCGCGGGCATCCTGACTCATCGGTCAAGGGGTCTCGGCGAAAGGCCCATCGCAATCGTCGCACGGACTGTTGAGGCGGATGTCAAACCAAACCCAACGAGCTATGAAAGTCCTCCAAATAAACTCAACACGTGGCACTCCGGAAAAATCATAAATCACGTTTCGATCATAGAATCATCATCAACGATCTCGGTTTTTAAGAAGTGACCGTCGTGCGGAAAACCAAACTCTGGTCCAAGCTGGAAACTTCTATCGTCAGAAGAATAATTGGCATCCATCTATTCCTGTCATGAAATTGCTTTGCTCATCATCAGTTTCATGCGGAAAAACTAAACTCCCGTTCGCATTGAAGAAGGGGGAAAAAAAAAATCAAATTCTGAGACTGCGCAAGTCTCTCCAAGACGTCTGGGAAGCCAAAATCTTCAGTATCGTCAGATTCAAAAACATTTTTTTCCCCAATGACAACAACTGCGCGTAAAACCAAACTCCAGAAGGACACACCATCCGAGATATCACCCAATTATGAGACCGCTTTTGTTCTGAAGCGAGATCCCCTTTTAGGAAACCATCAATAGGACGATTTTAAACCAAACGCCAGCTCGCAGAAAAAAAAACTAAATCAATTGAAAGAGACAATTAAATTCCAATCACGCCACTGCTTAGCAGGAAATCATCCCCGGGATCTTGTAATGGCCTCAGCCTATTTTTTGATCGTTAAAAAAAACAACAACAACAATCCAATCGTGCGGAAAATCAAACTCCAGGACACGTGAACCGAGCGGCAGCCGTGCGTAAAATCAAATATTTGAGCACCGCCGCTCACAGAGAATGTGGGGAGTCCATTTAGAGAATCCCCAAATTTGTGTTTAACTGAAATGTACATTGCGGGTGTTTCCATCCGAGTTTGGTGGTTTAATAATCCGCCTAAAACGCACCACCGCTGAAAAATCGGACATTTTCAAAGTTAAAAAAAAAAACAACCACGAACGGCTTTCAGTCATCCACTCAATCCCCCTTCTCCTAAAAAAATAAAATAAAACAAAAGACTCGTAGAGGAAAAATGTGTGTGTGAGTGTTCCAAAAGTCATCCAAACACGGCAACAGCCAACGTGAAAACAAACACGATGCGGGGGAAAGGAGGAGACACTTGGATCCAAGCCACGAGTATGACGTAGGAACGACGCATCGTTAGCATGTAGCAAGTAGCACGCATCGGAAATCAACACGGGACGAGGATGAATGAATTCTTCTTGTGGTGTTCTCTCTGTCTGCGTGCTGCGCGTCCGGCTATGTGCGCGTTTGGAGGCAAGTGCACCAAAACCACAGCAGTCCCGGTGAGTGTGCGGAGCCTGAGGGGGAGGAGGAGGGGGAGGCGCGAGATTGATGACGAAGACGGTGCGGCGACGCAACCTACAGGCCAGTCTGCGCAGTGATCGATAAAAGCCATTTGGCTTGTTTACGCCGCGGCTGTGTCAACCCAGGGCCACGATGTTGAATGTTTAAGATCGCAGGTGTCAAAGTCAAGGCCCGGGGGGCCAGATATGGCCCACCACATCATTTTATATGGCCCGCGAAAGTAAATCAAGCACGTCAAGTTCCGTGATGATCGCTAAAGTCGGAACCAAAATTTCATTTTGTCACATGTCATCCACAAATGGAGTTATTATTTTTGACTTCTGATTTTTAAACTAGTTATTCATCAATTTTTTGTGCGCTGTGTATGTAATATGTGGAGGGGATTAAACATTTCTATGGTTTCCCAAAATTCATCACGGCCCTCCAAGGGAAACCGTAACTACAATGTGGCCCGCGACAAAAATAAGTTTGACACCCCTGTTTTAGATCCTTCCCCTTTTCCAATACACCCAATTCAAATGATCAGGATCGTTATCAGGCTCCAGCGGGAGAAGAGGGAGGGGGGAAAAAAATCTAAAATGTGCAAAATAGCAGTCCTTGGCGACCGCAGTTTGACACCTGACCTTCACTGGATGTTTGATTCGGAACAATCTATACCAGCGGTGTCAAACTCATTTTTGTCGTGGGCCACATTTTAGTTACCGTTTCCCTTGGAGGGCCGTTATGACTGAAACCAAATAAAAGAAGTCAATAATAACGTTTTTACAACTATTGTTTAAGTTACTGTAATGAGGGGTTTGGTGACAAGAAAATGCTGACAATATGTCTCTCGTGCCAATGTGTTTCCCAATTAGCATGCTCCTAAGAGTGGCCGCTTATTTGCATATACACACAGGTGAATACTCTACACACACTTCCTCTTCCATCAACACAATACTGGACTTTATTCTACGGTATTCCTACAGCCATTTCAATAAGTGGTAAATCCCATCGCCTTTGCAATAGGGAGGATACTCCTTTTATCGTCGGATGTGCTCCTCATCATACCTTAAGTATATATTGTTATCACTGTGGCCTTTGCACTGTTTGCTAGTGGGCGTATAATATTTCTTTATGGGCCGCGGATTGGTGATGCACGACAAGCAGGAAAGTCAGACGTGACACGAGGAGGGCATTCCTCATTATTATTTTTTTAAAGAAGCCTTTTCGTCATATATTAAGGTATGTGGATTTCCACAATGTTCTGTATCGAGTTTGTGTGTGTGTGTGTAGTGTGATCAAGAATCAACTGTCTTGTCATGTAACTTTGAGAGCCACACATCTATGCCTTTTGAAAATATACATTTGAAGCTGTGCATACGTTTGTATTCAATACTCTTTTATTCCTTGGGGTGGATATAGTGGGGGGGGGGGAGGATATAGTGGAAATTATTTTGTCTGTATTGTTGCTGGAACGCTGTGGATTGTAGGTTAAAGTTTAAGTTCGCACTAAGTAGGCCACTGTGTAGTGTCGTCCAGTATATAGTTTTGTCCACACGGTGGCGTAAGAGAAGCAAAAATAAGAGGATTTCATTCGACGCGCCAGATCAAAAGGGGAGCGAATATTTTTAGAATGAATGTTGTAATGGTCATCATATTGAGGGTTGTTTCTAATATTTTGTCCCTCTCGTACAAGCAGTTGTGATGTTTTATGAGGAGAAAGTATTTTTTGGGGAATACTCAAGTGATCCCCGCATAATTATTAATAATAAAATACAGTGGTTAAATTAATATTCCTTCTCTGGGGATAAAAGTTTGTCTTTATTATTATTATTATTATTATTAATATTTGATAAATAGGTCAGACAAATAACGAATAAGCATAGGCTCATCAATAAGTTCCATGTAGGAATACGTAGTAGATGATATTATTGGTGACTGAATGTACGTTAGTTGACACGGCAAAATCTGACTTAAAATAACCACAAGAAACCGAAATGCAGACTTTGTGGACAAAACAGACAAGAATTGAAGATGACGTAATAAAAGCAAGGCCAGTCTTCTCGTTTCCCTTTGACTCCTCCCAATTCCTCGGCATTTGACTCCCCGTGGTGAAGCACTACTCTTTGATTGGGGGAGACTCGAACGAGCCCGCCTTCGGAGCTCTGATTGGCTTGGAGTTTCTCGTCCCGCCCATTTTGCGAAATCTCACCGAGTTGACTCTTTACTGTTTGTCACACACTTACTTTTACTGACACCCGCAAGTGTCGGACCACTGTTGCTCTCGTTGCCTTCTATTTTCTTTTCCGTGACTTTTCTCGACAAGTGGACGGAACAAAAGCAAACATGTGGACTTCACGTCCGCCCAAAGAGCAGGTCGGTGATGTTTCACTCGCTTTCTTGTCCCGGCGGCGGTGTTCTATTTGTGTCTTTTTGGGGGGGGTGTCACGAAGAGCACTTAAAATGGACACCTTACCGCCCAAAATTTATTGTCATCATTGTTGTGAGTTGCTGCTGCTCTATTATATTTTTCGTGGGTAACACTGACAAAGAAGCACGGGAGAGTCGGGTAAGATTCCACAGGTGTTCGCTCCCTCACGCACGCACGCACCCACGCACTGGGGAAGTTAAGTTACTGGAATGTCACGAGAAGGCTGCAATATTGAAGTCACGCATTATTAATTCGCCCTCATGCCTTTATGTTTGCATGCGTGTCATTCCACGTTTGTTCCCCAACAGCATCACCCCAAGCTATTGCATCTTTCCAATTTCCAGATAGGTGATACGGTGGGCTAGTGGTTTTATGACGTCTCGACGACATTTCCGAGGTTCCAGGTTCGAATCTGGGCTTCCTCTCTGGAGTTAGCATTGTTCTTCCCCTGTGCTTGCATGGTTTTTCGTCCTCACACATAACCAAAACATTTATGTAAGTCAGGGTAATGAGAAGTCTTAGTAGGTGTGAATGGTTGTTTGTCTTTATGAGCCCTGAGATTGTGTGGCGACCAGTCCAGGGTGTGGAGCCTCATGGGTACAAGGCAAGGGAAGGGATTTGTATTCTTATGGAACATTTCATACACGAGGCAACTCAATGTGCTTCACACAAGCAAAGACACAACACCTGTTAGCATTTACAAACGCAACAGTTAACGACATTCAGAAGCACAGTCGAGAAAACAAAAATGGCTGACAAAAATTACCAGAGCGTACATCCCGGATTTAAAAGCATTTACACTTGGGGCTGACTTCCCTTCTGTTGACATCTTATTCCATTTGTGTGCAGCATAATAGATAAATGCAGCTTCACCGTGTTTACTTTGAACTCTGGGCTCCATCAACTGACCCAAGTCTGCAGATCTCGTCAGAGGACAAGCGAAATAGAAGATGGACGAACGGATAGCTGTAAATGTGCAACGCTGGCGTTTATGTGGCCTCCATAAAGGCAACATTAATGTTTTCCAGATGTGCTACTGCAAACTGTATGCTGCATGCCGAATAATTCAGGGAGCTTTTTGGACCACAAAAAAAAAAAAAAGAGAGAAAGAGACTGTACGCTATCCAATCGAAGCCTCGAGAAAGAAGTGCGCTGTGACCCCAAAATTATATGTTGGAGGTTTATGTAAAATTGAAAGTTATTCATATGCTTTGCAGCTGTGAGTAGCCGCAGGGTGCACGCGATCATTAACCGCCCTGCAAGTATGAAATCAGATTGTATTGTATTGCCGGAACCTACCTAAATAATCTGACTAAATAAGATGACATTACACAAAAATTGCTCACTTATAGCATGTAGCCTGACAGACATGAAGAGCGAAGGTGTTTATACGTTAAACAACTGAGATCATGTGGTTGTACAAGTCTGCAGCCACTCTTCCAACTGGGTATGTGGCCGTCATCACAATGACTCAATCACATTTAAACTCATCGGAGTCACCTTACTCCTTCCACTATTTAAGCTGTCCCCGATTCACCCAAATAAAGTTCAGCTCGTGTTCTAGTAGGCTTTTCCTGACATTCTGTGTGCTTTCTGGCAGAAGCACCCAAGGTTTTGTGCCAATGCTGACTGCTGTTCGGCAGTCTTATTATTTCCCTTCACCTTGACTGAGGCCCCCTGTTCCAGCTGAAGAGAAACAGCCGCAAAGTGTAACGCTGCCACCACCTTGCCAGACAGTAGCTACGGTTTTCTTTTGGTGATGAGCCACGTTGTGTTGGTGCAAAATATACCTTTTGGAATTGTGCCTAAAAAGTTCAACCTTCC